TGCCATGTTTGGGGTGAGATCTTGCGCTATTGCGCTAAACTTGAAGTAACCAGGTCGTTAAATCACTGTAAATTTTTCGTGAAGGAAAATGAATAATTTCCGTTGACCGGTTGTAAATGACCTAGTGGTTATGGTTCCCGAGATAGCAGCATTCCCGCCAAAAATCTTACCCATTCTTACGTGAGAACCAAGGGGGAGGGGTATTGTACCGTCAATGTGGGCTGTACCGCCGTCGTATTTACATGCTGCATAGCTTTCGGGAAAGTAGTTGTGCAGAACGTGTCTGAATGAAGAAACGCAGAATGGTTTCTAGGATTGGCAGTTCAAAGAACAAAAGTCCTGGATCAGCAATTCGAGGGATAAACGAAGAACCGAAAGTTTCTTTAGCTGATGAACACTTCTCGACTTCCGCTGCCTTATTTGTTGAGTATTCACCAGGATAAGCGGCTGGATAAAATCCGCAGCGGTTAATGTTGTTTTGAAGGTACAGTTTGGCAAAAAATGCTCCCGTATTTGGTGGGCGCAGCTATGCAGGGCCTGATCTGGACACCTTCAGTTAGTACTCATTCGCTGTATGTGCGCCACCTCTTCGGGGTTGCTGGGTTTGTCATTGGCCTTCTCATGTGTACATTTATTATAACTAAATATATTGACAATGATATGAAAAGGCACAATCATTAATGCATTAATCCCGTTTAGCTCATTTATGAGAATGGCTCAAATGGTTCAGCGAAAATTCCGGAATCGTCTTACAGCTTCCATTCATTTTCGGCTCATTTTAAAGTTGTCGCAGTAAACATTACGTCCAGCAACTTCTTCGCGCCATAGTGATGTGATCGTTTTCCACTGCGTATAGAAATGCATGCCCATTTTGCCGTAAAAATTCTGAATTTCTTCAGTTAAGTCCAAAAAAATGCGTCAAACAATGACGTACAAGTTTTACAGATCATGTATGTATGCTAGACAGAACATTTCTGCCAGCTCAAGTTTTTACTAGTGGTACTTAAACCAGATGGAACATCTACGCCAAAAAGTAACACCTGCTTTGAAGGGGAGGAAAATTACAAGTCGCCACTGCGTACATTAGACTGCATAACATTCTGAGTACACTGTGAAAGCCATACCTCGGTCTTAAGCCACTCCACCAACTTCTATTCGTACCTCATCGCGCAAATTGGCACACCATCATCATCGCAGCCTCCTCTCAGCTTAGCTAAGTTATGCCGAGCCGGGTTTTGGTGATTGCCAAAACAACAGCCGATCAAAGCATCAGACTAAGTAAGCAGAAGTTCAAAAATGCCGCAGTGCAAAAATGCTGGAGGTTTAGAACAATTTTCTGAAAAAAAAAACTTACATGGTCGCCAGCAAAACTCTTTTTATTGCCAGTAAATGAGAACATTGGCAATGGAATTGGCACTGGAATATTTATTCCAACCTGAAATTTAAATCATTCACTTTAACTTGATTTCGTTAGTATTTCTTTAGACAGGCGGGATAAATTGTTTTCATATATTTTGTGATCATTATGTCTTATAGATAGCATTCCAATAACATCACTAATATGAGATCCTCTCGCCAAAGCTCTTTCTATTGGCATATAGGCGTATTAAAATATTTTTGTATTTGTCCACTGAACTCAGGCAGTTCTGTAGTTTTGAATTTAATGGGAAAATAAAAATTTTACATCAGGATAAAATTTCGTAAAAAGAGCTTTTCTGGATTCAAACTCACCAGGCCAGGCTCTGCTTGTTGTTCAAATTTGCGTGCTGTTGCTCCACTGCTGGTAAAGATTGCAGTGCCATTACCGTAAGGGTTTCGATTCACTATCGCGATAGCTTCATCGAGAGTATCAACACACATTAGCAAGAGTACCGGTCCAAAAATTTCTTCCTTAAACTCGAAATGTAAAGTCCGAAAGGATTCGAGATTTTTTAGATGTATGTCTACTTCACATACAGCAAAAGGTCCTTTTTCCTCTTCTTTTTTTCTCATTTATTAAGATATAGCTTTTGTTTGGTAAAACCAAACTTTATTAACTCAAATTTCGATTCTAAATGCAAACTAAGATTTCTTGTTCTGGCTTTTTTTTTTGCCCGAGTAAAGCTTGTTACAGAACAGCTAATTTTCACTTTTAATCAAACGCTTTTTGAATTTTAATATTTTTGAAAATTTCACAGCTTCTTTTGAGTATTCCACTCTCGTGCCAAAATATCGAAACTGTCTCCTTCCAGGTGGATTCTCCCCCAAAGAATCTTTTTTTTTTTTTTTTAAATTTATCTTCTGCGTTCACAACCCCAATCTTTGAAGAGAAAAACAAAGAATTT